CAATGCAAGTCCCATGAGGAAAAAGAGCAGGGATATGGAAACAATTTTGGTGCACTACCCCAAAAATACTCCCCAGGGGTGTGGGGGTCGGTGGGTGGGGGGAGCGGGTGGGACAGCGTCGGACTTCATCTTCATACATAATGCCCCGGTCATAAAGTCAACTATGCACACTCGGGACGGGCTCGATAACAGTTCCAATTGCGTCTTGTCGAAAACACACACACACAAGCCTTGCATTTTAGTGATCCGGAGTTTAGAGCCGGGATAGGTTGGTGGTCGGTAAATGATATTGAGCCTTAGCTCTAGCGAAGTTCGACTATACAGGTATTGATCAAATTCGTTGTAATAGTTGTAGTATGCACTGATCACGAAATAATCATCACGCACTAGCAATCACATTAGCACAGGATCACACTGGTACTCGCACGACACTATTTCACGTAACCGAGACGAGAGGAAAAGGCCACAGGAATAGCGATTCCTTTATTGAGAGAAATCAGGGGGATTAAACAATATGTACAGAACAAGTTCATTGGTCATCCAAGTCTCTGCCCATCACGTGCTAGTATTTGTGGGGTTTCTCAGCTTCTGTTGGGGCCGCACAGTTTCTAATTGATTGATACAGTCGATCTATAGACTGTAGTCTATAATCTGTGACATGTACCCAGGGAAGCTTGATTGATCACGGTTGTTCTAAAACTGTAACGTGTCACTCCGTGGTACGCGTCGTCTAGTAGGCTACTATCACCACCCTTTCTCGGTGGGTTTCTGAGTTCAACTATCCGTTGAATCGACGAATTAGACTGCCGTTGACTCCCAGGATTCTTAGCCTTTCACTTCATGCTTCATTTTGTAATTACCAATTGCCTATGCAGCACTGCGTGAGTGATAAGAAACCGCGGTGTTTTGGATCCAGTTCATGGGTTGAGTAATTTGGGTGGAATTAAGTTTTTGATTTCAACTATTCTCGGGTTTGTGTTTCACATCTCTAGAATAGTTCTGGTAGCTGATCACTGACTATGCCAATCCCAAAATCAACGGGAGGAAATCCCCCATATGGGAAGACTAAGTTACACTGGGCAGGTCTGGATGGCAGTTCGAAGCACCGACAACAAAGGTGTGGATAACAACAACAACAACAATGTTTGCCAACATCAATCAACGCGAGACCGATGTGCAATTTTCGATTTGGTTTGGACCCAACCATGTGCTTGTTCTTTTACTTAGAACTGGTGTGATAATCGGACAATCGTGACTGAAACGTGGCCAGTGTAATCGGATGCATTGAACGGCCCAGAATGTCAACTAACTCTAGCTAAAAACATTCAAACCGGTGGTTATAAGGGCGTACACGACAGAATATCCCCATAGTTGAAAGTTAATTATAAGAGAGAACCAATTAGACGATAATCACTCTATGTCGGAAAGACACGGACGCGGTTATGTCTATCTCCTCGGGTCCGTTAATAAACCTTACCCTCCATTCTGTAAGACAGGTTTTGTTTGTCTGCACGCTAATCCGCATAACCGACAATTCAATCTGTCTGAGTAGAACAGGTTAACACAATCAGGACTGGCACTGCTTTATTACAGTGTGGTGTCAGACCCCAGGTAATTATATCAAGGAAAAAAGCGAATTTTTTAAGCGATTCTTTGTAAATGATTAATCTGCTTTTAAGAATGGTAAATTTGGAATAGTCCATTTGATTGTTCACAGGCAACAGACTGTGTTGATGGTCGACTATTTAGCTCAGCGGCAATGGTTTGTAGTGCCCACCGGAATGTTCGCAGTTCGAGTCCTGACGGGGAAACAAACAGTACACACTGCTGATAAGTCCCAAACAGGACGAAACATCTGTCTGTGCTGTGTGACACCAACCTCGAAAATTCCTTGTACATTCTATATGCATTGAGTATGCATAGTATACGATTCGAATAAAGTACACGTGCTATTCGATTCGAAGTTGTTCCATTTCGGGGATTGGTATTGCGCGAATTTTGGAGCGCCATTTCGAATACTATTCTCAATACTACATTTGGCGTCGCGGGCAGGATCTACTGAACAATGAATTCTACTCCGCAAGAATCCCTTGATCTTAAATGCTGTGCAAGCGATATCGAGGACTATTTTGAACGTTTTGAGATTTGGTGGTTGACCCGTTCAAAGCCCGATGAGGAAACGAAATCCGCTTTTTTTGAATGCTGTCGGTAAAAATGCTTACATACTAATCACAAATTTGGCTCTCTCCACCTGTTTCTTTACCGTCCGAGGATTTAAAATCCCTTCTTCTACAGCATGTGAAGCCAACGATCTTTGAAGCTTCAGAGAGAGAGAGAAAGAGAGAGAGCAAAATTTCATTCAATGGTATGCAATCCGAATCAAGGCATCCGTGAATTCATCTTGAATTTGCTCATTCAAGCCCCAAAGTGTGACTTTGGAGACTTACTGGACATGCAGTTGAGAGACCGGCTGATCGCTGGCATTAACAATAGTGTTTTGCAAAATGAACTTCTAAAGTTATCCAATCCGACGTTCAAAGATGTGCAGGCCCATTGTGAACAAGATCAGGACATTCGCGCCGCTACTTCATCCATGCCGTCGACCATCGAATCTAAAGCCATGTTCAGTTCACTCAAAACTAAATCCACGTAAGTTCATTCTACAGCCGGACGTTTCAAACCAGTTACACAATCTAGCTCACACAATGTGACATATTCAGATAAATCCTATGGCAATTGTGCATCCTGTGGCCAAACTCCATTCCAGATTCACATGTTGATTTTGTTATGCTTCATTTCGCAAGTGTGGCAAAATTAGGAAAATTCAGTCTGTTTGTCACAGTACCAAAACATGTCTCTTAATTCAATCCAAGGACTCAGAAGTGAGTGATATAGACAAACATTTTTCTTCTTTATCTTTGGCAATTACCTCCTATTCTGGTCACATTCGTAAACAACTATTCAGTTCCACCGGTAACTAGCTTCATTTCATTTTGGACACTGGTAGTGTGGAATCTCTAATTTCTGTTCATGATTTAAAAAGTTTTGCTCCAGATGCTAACCTCCAGCCGCCCCCTATCATCCTAAATGGCATCATTAGACACTCATTACCAGTTGTTGGTTCTTCTGAGATCTCAATCAGTGATAAAAATTCTAAAAGTGCTACCTACACATTTATCGTAACCAAATCTGGCCCCTCCATACTAGGCTTGAAAGCTATGCAAGCATTAAATGTTAATCTTTCCTTGTTAACCTCCATCGGCACTAAAAATGAACTGAAAGATTTGATTATTAAATGCTCAAAGGCCAGTGAGGGCATAAAAATTTCCCCAGAGAAACTACCAGTTAATGGCGATCCAGTTCTTCTCAAACGCCGACTTAGTCCATATGGCATTCGTGAATCTGTCATGAATGCATTGAACAACTTGTGTTCCAAAAGTGTTATAGAAAAGGTGGCGTCTTCAGCATAGGGTACATCAATCGTCACCATTCAAGTCGGATGGCAAGACCCCCAGAATATGTGGTGACTACCGAATCACCTTAAATCCAAGACTGTTGAAGCAGATATGTCCAGAAGTTGAATCAGAGGATATTCTGAATAAGTTGACTGATTCTAAGGTCTTTTCGAAGATTGACTTGAAAGATGCATATTTACAAATTCCGTTAGACGAAATCTCATCCACGTTGACAACCATTAATACCCCTTTTGGTTTATACAGATACAAGTTTCTGCCATTCGGTTTATTCATTTCTCCTGCCATATTTCAACAAGTTAGGAATGATATTACTAGTGATATGTCTGGTGTTGAAGTATACCAAGACATCATTGTTCATGCTCCTGACAAATCCACTCATGAAGCACGATTGCTTGAACTCGTTCGTAGGAATTCTGATAGGAATGTTGCTGTTAATCCTAAGAAGTATTTATCTCTCATTTTGAATGTCTTGGATACTCAGTTGATGGTAAAGGTTACAAACCTGACCCAAACCGTCTATTTCCTCTAACAAAAGCCAAATCGCCGTCGAACATACACCAACTCAGATCATTGATTGAAGCCCCACAGTTTCACTCTATATTTATCCCCAATTTCAGTCGGAAAGCTTCACCCCTATTTCTTCTCTCTTCCTCTGACAAATTTGTTTTGACTGAACATTGCTTACGTGAATTGCTAAATTTTCTGCAGACTGATACTGTACTCCATCCATTCAATCCCAAAATTCATTCCACTGTTATCACTGATGCATCACCGGATGGAAGAGGTGCGATTCTTGAACAGAATGGGCATCCAATTATTTGTGTGTCTTGCCGGTTAACATCAGCTGAACGAGGCTATGCTCAAACTCATCGC